CTGTGCATGAATTCTTTTTTTAAGGAGAGTAATGTAATATTATTTCTGTAAATCCCATCTTGGGCTTTCCTTCTTTTGATGCAGGGTCTCACTGTATAACACTGGCTGACCTTGAACTCAGGATGTAGACCAGGCCAGCCTCAAACTTGTGAATTTGATGTTACAGGCAATTCTACCGTGCACAGTTAATAACTTTCATTGTGATGATAATAGAGGTTACTGAATGAATAATCTTCAAATTTTAGTTTTCCCTAGAATGCACTACAGCTTATCTATGAGTACAGTTTTGTCTTGAAATCCTTGGGAGCGATGCAGTTTAGTGCTTTACCTACATACTGGAGAAGAGAGGCAGGGTACAGATGTCAGTCTTAGTACAAGCGAGAGAAGCATGAGAGAACACTGGGAGTTACAGTTTCAGAGCTTTCATTTTGAAGTACTCTTAGTTCTTCCCACTGATTACTACTTGCCCTCATTGATTGATGGATCTATCTGTTGAGATAGGGGTTTCACTTTATAGCTTAACCTGGTCCCAAGCCTGCTACTCAGCTCAGGCTGGTGGTGAGCCCCAAAATTTCCTTCCTGCCTTGGCCTCCTCGGTGCTAGGATTACAGGCACTACACATACCTGGCTCCCATTGGCCAATTAAGAAGCATGTTTTAAGTATGCATTACAACACATTTGCCTTTCTTGGCTGTGGTACTTTGGTTGTTCATGTTAGAATGCTCATCTGTTGTACTTTCGTTTTGTAGGATTGCTTCCATTGAGGTTAGAGCTTAGTGTAGGCCGGGTCATTGTTGATTGGTAAAAGAACAATCTAGGATTTAAATTTTACTTGGGAGAAGCAATAACTAAAGTAATTTTGGGGCTGTTTTCAGAGGTGAACTATACAGTCATTTAGATTTGTTTCAAACTTTACTTGAAACTATAGAGTTTTATTTTGTTGAGTTTATTTTTCTCCAAGAACTTTGCCTTTCTGGTCTCCAAGGATTATTTAATCTAAGGTCATCAGTAACACGTTTGACCACAGCGGTTTCAATTTATTTTTATTTTGTATATTGGTGTTCTGGCCTGCATGTATGTCTGTACCATGTATGTGCAGTGTCTCTGGAGCACAGACGAGAGCTGGAACTGGAGTTATAGGTGGCTGTATGTGTGCTGGGAATTGAACCCAGGTCCTCTGAAAGAGCAGCTGAGCTGGTTCTCTTAACTACCAAGGGAAACATACTAGGTGAAAGCGATTTTGTATCAGTGAGACTATGATGTTACTTGTTTTTCAAACAGTCTTACGGTGTAGCTGTGTGAGTTGGGTTTTTATTGTGATAAATACCATGACCAAAAGTAACATGGGAGGAAAGGACTTATTTGGCTTATAGGTTTCAGTGTGTCATCAGGGGAAGCCAGTTCAGGAACTAAAGCAGGGGCTATGGAGGGACGAACATTGCTCAATCTGTTCCTAAATTGAAAGCTGACTTTTTGCATGAAATTCTCCTTAGTTATTTGTTGTATTCGGAAGTTGTTTCATACTGTTCTATGCTCAGTGCATGCTTTAAAAAATAAGCCCTTACTTTTTCTTTTCCTAGGAGTCAGTGGATCGGTGGGGAAAATGCTGCTTGTCCTGGGCCCTAAGCTGTAGAAAGAAGACACCAAAAGCTAAATACATGTACCTGGCACAGGAGCTCAAAGATGATCCTGAATGGCCACCTAAACCTCAGACAACGACGGAAGCCAAAACTGTAGTAAAGGAGAATGGATCATGTCAGATCAGCACCATAGCATAGCAGAGACTGCTTCTGCTGTGCTAGTGACAGTATTCAGGAGGATGTGCTCGGCTTCTGACGCTGTGTGTCATAATGGCACTATTTCAGTTTATAGCCCTCTCATAGTACAGTAGATTAAAAAACAAAACCAGTAAAATGGCATTTGCCTCACAGTTATTAACTATCAATCTGGCTAGATCTTCATGCAGTAACCTAAAAGTAATATATTGGGTGTGAAGAAAACTGTTTTAGATTTTAGCTTTTGTCACTAGTTTGCCTCTTTAAATTTAATTTTCACAATCCCTTATTAGCAAGTTCCTTTTATATATAGGCCCTAAAATTGGGATTGTTAAAATAATATGGTTGTTAATTATGATTAGCCTTTGGTGAAAACAGGTTTAAAGTCTGTTTTGATTACAGTGTTTCTCCCAAAGAATTCTATGTTAAACACACACCAGTTTCCTTTGACATGGAGATAGGAGTAAGTTTGTATGTTATTGTTGATAGAGCAACTCAGGTAATTTCCATTTCTGGTTTTCTATTCTCTGTGTAGACTGCCTGGGTGTCACTTTCTAGCCAGCAAGGTGCTTCACTGCTGTCTTGATGTCCTTCATAATGTTTGTGGGTCTCATACTGTGTCTCACATCAGCAATCTGGTTTGCTTTGTTAAATGATGAACTTTGTCATTAGAAAAGTTTATTTCTGAGCCAGGTCGTGGTGCAGGCTGTACTCCTTGCACAGGAGGCTGAGGCAGGATGATTGTTCTTAGTCCAAGGATAGCCTAGAGTAGATAGTAGAACTCTGTCTCAAAATACATATGTGCAGAAAGAGACTTATTTCTCTTGTTGGTAGATCTTATAACTCTTCATACCTGTTTGGTTTTCTTTGTGGATTTATATCATTTTAAATGCTTTTTGTCGTTGTCTTTTTTTAACCTAAAGGAATAGGATGATACTGTTTTATTTTTGTTGTTGGTGGTTTTGTTTTGTTTTTGAATTAGATATATGTCTTTGGATAATGAGGCTTAAAAGAATAATGAATATTGAATTTGGCTTTTACAAAGCAATGTGAACTTGAGTAGAGCTTGTTTTATGCCATTAGGTAGCACCAGATGGTCAGCACATAATCTGTTTTGTTACAAATGAACTTGAGAAAATATACACATTTATTGAGCCAAAAGAAATGTAGAAAGCATTTTTCACGCTTTTGTTTTATCTGATTAATGTTCAGTTCTCAAGTAACACTTCCACAATGCCTTCCTAGATAGACCCAGCAGCTTGGCAGTGCCCGCAGTTATGATAAACTTGGGAAGCTGGCATTGCTATAAAAATGGACCCTAAATTAGTGAAAGTGTGACATTTATTCTGTTTCCTTAAGGAACCACTCCTAGTTGTCATTGCTATCCCAATACATACTTACCAGTTTGCCAAATGTTACCCAGATTTGTAGAACCATTTCTTTCTTTTTATGTTGCAGAGACCTGAATAATGTTTGATAATTGTAGAAAAAAAGGTAAATTATTCTCAGGATCACTGTTAACTGCTATTGCCACTAGTGATTCCTACAAAATATGTAATCGAATTTTTCCAACAAAATGTATGATATTGCTATATGTTACATAAGAACAATTGTCCCATGAATGATTCTATGAAGCTATGCATCTTAGACCTCTTGCGCTGTGAATTAGCACTATTTTCTATTGTTACTCTCTGTTGTTTTATACTGTCCACGTTCATTTCAAATAATGCTCATGTTATTCTTTAGTGATTTTTCTGAATTGTTAAGTCTTATTCTTTGGTTTAAATGCTGAAGCCGATAAGTAATTGCTAACTGCAGCTTAGAAACCCAATATCAGTTGTATTTAACATCCTCAAGAGAATGATCATAACATGTTATTTTGACACATATCCCTTTTAATATTAGTGTTGGTATATATTATCTGTCCATATTGTTTGCAAAGGAACAAGGTTTTCTGTAGGTGAGAGAAAGCATTTGCAGGAAGTTAGATTTCAACATAGACAGGGTAGGTTATTCCAGTGAGGATGTTGTTTGAGGCATGTCTCAGTCCAGACATGGGTCCTACTTAGTGCCGTAGGTAGATGGACTCTTCTGTAGGTCACCATCACATAGAAATTTGGGTTCTGAATTTTACATTAAATTATTTGAGTATATACAGAACTAGCTTTTGAAATCTGTACATATGTTATTTTGATGTATTAAGATTGATAATATTGCTGATTTAAATTTTATTTATGCACATACTTAAAGGACAGAAATGTCTGGGAAAGTAATTGTTAAATAATGATATGTAACTTTTTAACTTTTTAAATAAATAAGATTTTTTAACATGGGTCTCCCTCAGGGTTGTTTAAAGTTGTTTTCCTCCCTCAAATATAAATATAGTGGTAACTGTTTTCTATCTTCTAGCACCAACTGCTGTAAAGCAATGCTGCAAATAATGCTTGGGTGAGAGCAGCGAAACCAACAACAAACCAATGCTTTTCTAAGTTTTACAAGCCTGAAATTCAAAAGCTTTCTAAATTGCACTTGCATTTAAGTAAACCCGTTACTCTTTTTTTCACTATTTATTTTGTTTCCCATGTTGATGAAAGTACCACACAGTTTCAAAGGCATGGTAAATAATATGTCATATATATATAATACATATATATATAAACCCCATTCCAGAATCAGCAAAAGCTCATACACAGTGAGGAGCAGCTTCAGGCTCTAGAGAGCATCAATTCACGCATGCAGTTTTGATGTGTCTAAGAAAGGGGTTTTCTATATTTATGGTGGGAGGTTACTGGGAACTTTTAACAAGATAGGATATTAACTTTTGTACAGTCGGGCATTTACACGTATTTTTAATGTATTACAATTTGGTAATTATGTGCACATGAAATTAATAAGCGTAACTTCCTGTTATGATTTGTGAATTCCCTAAGACTGTGGATTTTTTAAGTAACTTTATATATCAGAAATGATACCACATCTTTATATTTTTTAAATTGTATTGCTGCTCAAGAATGGTACCCTGTTGTCAAAAAGGTAGATATTCATAATTGTACATTCAGCATTGTAAATAACCTTATGAAATCTTTTTGATTGAAGCTATTCAGAATAAAAATTTTAATGAAATAAAATTTTCCTGGGTCTTTACATACTTGATTTTGGGGGGGGGTTATATAAATGCAGTTCTCAGGACTAATTAGTTTCCTCTTTTTTTCCCCCTTCCTGACTTGGAATTTACAGTACAGTGTTTCCATGTCCCTTGGGCCTGTAACTGCCTTGGGGAAGGAAGTCCCAGCAGTTATACCTAACATAGAGCCACGTGGTAAATGTCAAGGGTTGGGAGGGAAAGGCTGGAAAATGCTAGAGACGGAACCTGTCAGTAGTGGCATCAGTCAACAGCCACTATCAGTGTAGTGTGCCTTGGGCACCCAAAGGAGCCTTGGAGGGAAGAACAGGATAGGACTAGATAGAGATCCAGCAGAGCAGCTATGCTGGCTTTTATTGCCTGAGTGGATGGTAGAGAGGAAGGCAACTTTGCTACTTAGTATGATGGACTGGTTGTAGGAAGGGCTAACTGCAAGCTTCCAGTAGGACGGCAGTTTGGAGCTCGAGAATTGCTTCTCCAGGAGAACTAGAGGAGCTCATAGAACCTTAAGCGGCGTGCATTACTTTTGGCCCAGACTAGACTGGTGGTTTGGGTTGAGAAGGCCCTTGCTGGACTTGATTACACTTAGGAAAGCCCTGGCCTCAATCTCCAGCAAAGGAGAAAAAAGGAGGGAGTGGTCTGTGTGATCGCGTACACTGAAGGGGGTTCTTCCCAACTCGTTACAGTACTCTAGGAAGCACTTCTCCACCACTCCCTTCTGTAATCTCAGGTGAGTATGCATGTTGGCTGTCTGGAGGTAAGGTCTGATAGTCACCTGAAGCTTACCAATATATGGCTGGACAGCATGCTTCAGGTCAGGGATCTCTTGTCTACCACACCTGGCTTCTCTTATGAGTTCTCCAGTTTAAATTGAGTCTTCATGCTTGCAAGACCTGGGCTGACTCCCTAAACCCTGGATCTTTGTTCTTAAAGCAGTTGAAGAATCATCTTGAACTTTTGATACAAGCACATTTAAAGTAACTCTGCCTGTTAGGTACATACAAAGGAACCTGCTTATCCCCTAGAGACCTGAGTACTGAGGAAGAGCATTTCAAGGAATTACTGGGGGTGTCTGCCTTGGAAGGATTTACCTAATAACATCTATGACTTGACAATGGAGTAGTAGAATGTATTAAGGATGTCTACATTATAGTTGCATATACAAAATTAACACAGCTAGGCATCAAGGTGCATTCTCTGTGATTCCAAAATTCAGGACAGTTAAGGCCAGAAGATCATAAATTTGAAGCTAGCATAGGCTTTATAGCAAGACTGTCTGAAAAGAAGGGGAAAAATAGAAATGTGGAACCCAGATTTCTCAAAAGCTGAAGCACAGGTGGCCCTTCATTTTAAGAATGAAATGCAAAATTCAAAACCATTTGAGACAGGTTGGTGGGGTGATTTTGCTCTTCAGTCTGGGCCTAAGTTGTGCCGGGTGAGGGATAGGCATTCATGGAAACACGAATGACAAGGATTCAAAGAATGCCAAACGAGATGTGAAGAGTTCACACGTGGTGTGTGGCACTGCTGTGTATAACCACTGGGGTGGGCAGCTTGACACTGAGCATGAACTCTTGAACAATGCCATTAATGAACATGTGTGTCGGTGTCTGAACTAGCCATTGCGGGGGTGGGGGGTAAGAATTCTTTAGCTTTATTTTAAATAAAATTTTGGGCAAAGGAAATGTCTCAGCAGGTAAAGGTGCCTCCAAGCTTGATGGCATTAGTTCAGTCCTTGGAACCTATGTGGTGGAAGTTGAGAACTGCCTAAGTTTTCTGATAGCTGTATACTCATACACACCAAGTAAATGTAATTTCTTAAAGGGGGGATGAGAATTGGTGCAATGTAACATGCGAATGTATGTATAATGCCCATCTATTGATGTGACTGCTGTGTAACACAAATAATAAAAACCCAGAATCAGATATTGGGGTTCAAGCTGAAGATCAGAGAAGCAAAGCAGCCAGCCACTAGAGTTCTCACCTCTACCAATGCTCAGACCAGAGGGGCGATCCTGTCCTCAGACTGCATCTCCGGACTGCACTGAGCTTCTTATATAAAACTACTGCTGGGGCTAAAGGTGTGAGCTGTGTCTCTCTCAGACTGATTATCTCTCAAGTAGCCCGGGTGACCTTGAGTTCAGATTCATCTGCTTGTCTCCTGAGTCCTGGGATTAAAGGTGTGTACCACCACTGCCCAGCTTCTGGAAGCTAACTAATGTGGCTGGCTTTATTAGATCATTAGCAATGCGTCACCACACTGCTGCAGTGATCCGTACATCCCCAAACTTTCTTACTAGTCTTAACTTGCCACTTATGGAAAAACTTCACCTTCTACCATTTAGCTTTGACAGTGCGACTCTTTAATATGGCCTCTCACAGTCTGAAAATTCTGATTAAAACCTAGAATATGCCCTCTTGAGATAGTCTTTTCCTTGACTTTTTTCTGGTAAGGTCTTTATCCTCAGGATGCAAGAATACTCCCTCTTCCTCTGTGAAGTGCCGAGTCACCAGCACAGCTGTAAACATTTCAGTCAGTTCAGGCTGCAGAACCGCTTCAGGTAAGGTCGAATAGTCTTAAATTAGTGTATATAGTTAGAGGGTTGAGGACAGGGGCAAGGGGAGATCTGATGCAAGAAACAGTACAAATTTTTGCTTGGGAAACATTGGGTAAACTTGTATTGCTGTGTTTTCCAGATAATTCAATGCCCAGAGTAGTTTTTATTAAGCAGCTTGTCTTAGAAGCAAACAGTTCATTATTTAATTAAATATGTGTGTCAGACTACCTTCAAATTCTATGTGACCGTTAATTTACTTAACTGCATGTGCATCGAAGCACTCAGCCTGCTGCCCTCCTCGTGCCTTCTGTTAACAGTGCAAAGTGCAGAGAAGCATGGCTTAAAGCCACGGGCATTATCGCCTGTTCCACGGAGCTTGGAGATTAAAAGGGTGTAATGTGCTGTTGGCACTTTCTAAAAATATGATTGTAAGAAATGAATCAAGTGGACCTTGCTGTTCCCTTCCTGGCTGTTGGGTAGAGGCAGCCCTGCTTAAGTCAGTAGAATCAGTAGCACAGCTAGTTCTCCTGTAGACACTACATTGTGGTGACTGAACATGACCGTGAGAATCTTAATTCATTCTGAAAAGATTTTAAGGTATTCTTTCTGTAGCTTGAAGGTGTCCAAATTTCAGTGTTCTAAACTGAGAACTGGGTGAGATGGCTCAGTAGGTAAGAATGCATACCCAGTAAGCCTGAGCTAGACTCTCCAGCCCCCACTTACGCTGAATAGAAAGGTACTTTTTTTTTTTTTTAATCGGCCCTTTTAAGAGTGGAGGGAGACTTGGTTGTACCTGGGCAACATTCCAAGGCAGTGAGAAAGCTGGCCAAAGAGCTGTGCCTGCAGCAGGTGCCAGACTCCAAGATGGGCTCTGAGCCTTGTATCATTGCCTTTCAGACATGCTAAGGAGCGCCTTGTTGTGCGCGATGCTCGCACTCGTGCACGCCCAGCCCTTCCCCTGCCCTGAAACCTGCAGGTGTGTGGATCGCGATGCTGTGCAGTGCTGGGGCAGCAGCGTGGCTCACATCGCCTCGCTGGGTCTGCCCAGGAACCTTACACACATCGTGCTCTTCCGAATGGACCAGGGCGTATTGCGGAACCTCAGCTTCAGTGGCATGACCGTCTTGCAGCGCCTGATGTTCTCAAACAGCCACATTTCCGCCATCGAACCCGGCACCTTCAATGACCTGGTAAAACTTAAAACCCTTAGGTTGACGCGCAACAAAATCTCTCATCTTCCAAGTGAGCTCCTGGATAAGATGGTGCTCTTGGAACAGTTGTTCTTGGACAACAATGCACTAAGGGACCTTGACCAAAACCTGTTTCAGAAACTGCTTAACCTGAAGGAGCTCTATTTGAAGCGTAATCAGCTCACTTTTCTTCCTGCTAACCTTTTCACGAGCCTGGGGAAGCTGAAGGTGTTGGATTTATCGGGAAACAACCTGACCCATCTGCCCAAAGGATTGCTTGGGGCGCAGGTTAAACTTGAGACACTGCTGCTCAACTCAAACCAGCTCGCGTCTGTGGATTCGGGGCTTCTGAGAAACCTGGGCTCCCTAATTGAGCTGCAGCTGGACTGGAATCGCCTCCGCTCCATCGCAGCCGGTGCTTTCGACAGCCTCGGAAACGTGAAGTTGTTGACTCTGTCCAGAAATCTCCTGGAGACCCTGCCACCCGCGCTCTTCCTTCGTACGAGCAACGTGACTCAGCTGACCCTGTTCGAGAATCCCCTGGAGGAGCTCCCGGAGGTGCTGTTCGGGGAGATGGCCGACCTGCGGGAGCTGTGGCTGAACGGCACCCAGCTGCGCACGCTGCCCGCAGCCGTCTTCCGCAACCTGAGCGGCCTGCAGACTCTGGGGGTGACGCGGAACCCGAGCCTAGGCTCGCTCCCGCGCGGCGCGTTCCAGGGACTGGCGGAGCTGCGCATGCTCGCGCTGCACTCCAACGCCCTAGCGGAGCTTCCCGACGACGCGCTGCGCGGTCTCGGCCGCCTGCGCCAGGTGTCGCTGCGCCACAACCGGCTGCGGGCCCTGCCCCGCGCGCTCTTCCTTAACCTCAGCAGCCTTGAGACCGTGCAGCTGGAGCACAACCAGCTGGAGACGCTGCCTGGAGATGTGTTCGCGGCCCTGCCCCAGCTGACTCAGGTCCTGCTGGGCCACAACCCCTGGCTCTGCGACTGTGGCCTGTGGCCCTTCCTCGAGTGGCTACGGCAGCATCAGGACCTCCTGGGCCGAGACGAGCCCCCCCAGTGCCATGGCCCAGAGCCACGCGCGGGCCTGTCGTTCTGGGACCTGCTTCAGGGTGACCCGTGGTGCCCGCACCCTCGAGGCCTGCCTCTCAACCCTCCAGCCGAGAACGCCCTGGAAGCCCCGGTCCCCTCCCAACTGACTAATAGCTCGCAGTCCCCCGCGTGGGTCCAGCTGGTGGCCAGGGATGAAGGTCCCGATCATAGCTTCTACTGGGGTCTTTATATTCTGCTTTTAGTAGCTCAGGCCGTCATAGCCGGGATCATCGTGTTTGCCATGATTAAAATCGGCCAGCTATTTCGAACATTAATCAGAGAGAAGCTCTTGTTTAAGGCAATGGAAAAATCTTGTAACTAATTAAGACGTGACCAGAGCATTGTAGACGGGGCCTCAGGGAGAATCTAGTCAGGATGATACTCCCTTCCTCCTTTCCCCACGCCTGTTCTCTCCCCTGCTCTTTCTGCCTCAGTTCATTCTTTCAGGCTTCCTTTCAAGCCCCTCTCCTCAGAAGAGCCTTTTGTAAATCGCTACTGCTTACTAGGGTGGCCTCGGTTTCCTCCTCTGTTGTTAGTTTCCGAGTGGGAGTGGGGGAAGGAAACTTGGCTTGTATTTGACTCATTCGGTCCTACCGTGAGGCTCTGGGTGCCTAGAGGAGAGAGGAGCTCTTTCTTAGTTTCTGAGTTTGGGTGATGACACTCCTCCTAGGTGAGAGCAAGACCTCTTCTTCACCCAGCAAAGGGTTGGGTAGCATTTGCTGAAGGAACACCTGCATAAAATGAACCCTCGATCCCAGAGATGATGGTTTTTCCCAGGAGAATGCTGGAGTCTCCTTTTCCCTTTCTATTTGAAAGGAGATTGATGTCCATTCTCTTCTGTTTTCATTTTGAGTCCGTTCTGCGGGCTGTTTAGGAAGGCGCTGGCAAGCCTCCGGTGATGGGCTGAGCTAGGACACACGGGAGCTCCCATTCCCACCCCAGGGACAACCAATTCCTGGCACCCACTCCTGACCTGACTGAAATGACTTTTGGCACTGGTATGGTGATGGGAGCTCCCGTGTGTCCTGGCTCGGCCCGTCACGGAGGAAGGAGGCTTGTTTTGAAACAAAGGTTCCACAGAAACCAGAGCCTTATCTGAGGTGTTCCAGGAAGCTTGGGGAGCTGCTCAGTGTATCCCACTGGCCTCCTGTGAGTTTCCACTGCTTTGAACCAGGGAAATGTGTCACTTGGTTCCCATATCCTAGAGGTAAATGCCACCTCATTTCAGAAGCATTTATGGAGCTGTGACCATGTGATAGGTGTTCATGAAGGTAATGATAGCTTGGTTTCCATGCACCGTGCTTGTATCACATTCCCATTTATCCTTCCAATTGAAAGCAATTAAACCCTTGTTGCCTTAATTGGCTGTCTGCTTATGAGAGGCAGTGGTTAAACACATGCATGGGAGCTTCAGTCTGTGTCCCCGCTTCCTAACCCCCAGGACAATGTACACACGTTCTGTAAACCTGGGCTTCCTGAAAGGGATGCTGTGAGAATTAAAGCTAATAAAACATACAGAGACTTGACCCAGTACCCTGGATACAAAAACTGGCCAGTGAGTAGGAGTTACTACTAAAGAGTATGCAGTTACATTCTCAGCCCGCCCCCCCCACACACACACACTCATGGGCTGCTTTTGAACTGGAGATCTTGCACTCCCAGGCTCTGGGACTGTAAGTTTGGGCTGCCACACTCAGCTGGTATCATGCTTTCTAAGGAAGATATTCCACCCTCTGTGTAGAAAAGAGTAAACTTTCTCAAACTGGAGGTTAGACCCAAACCAGCTCTGTCTGTCTCCACATAGTCTGTGAGCTCAGTCCTGTGCTCATGCTCGGGTTCTGTGTTTGCAGGCTACAGGCATGGGTCCTCCCAGCACCATCAGGGTGTGTGGGGGAGAAATAGCTGGGTCCTGACATCTGTCTGCCTGTGCTTCTTCAACACCAGCTTCAAATCTCACCCCCTTGCTGAAGCTCCCCCTACTGTGTGCTTCCTGTACTTGCTGCCTCTCAGATGCTGGGCACCACCCTCCCCATCTGGCCCTGGGTGTGACTTTAGAGCAGCTGTTTAATTAGCCTCTTGTTCTGTAAACTCACTGGACAGTTTCTGTCTTGTTTATTTCAAAAATTTGGAGCCACTAATATCTTAAAATCCAGGTGTGTGTGTGTGTGTGTGTGTGTGTGTGTAACTCAGACTCTGTTCTAAATACTACTCTCTGAGTCAGGCTTTCTAGCATGGGGCCTGTTTTCATCTGTAGGATGAGGATGACAGTTGTCCCTACCAGTGCTGGAAGGACCACATGAGGTAGTTCCTGCCAAGTAAAGACGATGGGCTGGTTCCTAAGGCCCAGTGGCAGCTGTTTTGATCAGCTATTCTGGAATCCACCGTGTCCTAACATTTCTCTCTGCCTCTTCATGTGTTGCTTCATTTGGCGATTTGATTTACTATTCTATACCAACCACTCTGGTAAGTGGAGAGTCAGAGCCAGGAGAGAAACAATGCCCACTTCCATGGGGTTATACCCGGGGGTCCCACCAGCCGTGAGGTTGTCCCACATTCCAGGACATTCAGAACCAAGGTAGGGAGGACAGCTTCAGACACTTCTGCCAGCTTCATGAAATATTCGTTCTTCCCTCTGTTTGATTAAATTTTTTAAACATTGTCAAAAACAACAGATAATATTGAAAACCCATGTGTAATCTCTTCCTGACTTCATCCCTTTTTCTCTATCAAACAATAAAGCTACTCAATAAATGTGCCTTACATCCTTATATGTGTTTTCTCATTTGGTACATCTTCAGTTTTCTCCTTAATGATGCTAACCTACACACATACAATGGTCTTCAGCTTTTCCTGAACTAGGATATGTTTGAAATTTATCAGTATGGTGGACATTTGATATTTACATAATATTCTATTGAGTGAATACACTATGACTTGACTTACTGCTTCCTTTTTGTTAGTTTGTTTTGGGTTTGGGTTTTGTTTTGAGACTTGGTCTCTCTGCATAGCTGTGGCTGTCCTGGAACTCACTGTGTAGATCAGGCTAGCTCCTGCCTGTTTCACCAGCACTGGGATTAAAGGTATGTGCACCAACTGGCTTGGCTACCCCTTCTTTTGTCCTTCCTTCCTTCCTTCCTTCCTTCCTTCCTTCCTCCTACCTTTTTCCTTTCTTTCATAGTGGTCATACTTTGCAGCTCATGCTAATGCTGGATTTTTTTTATATTTTAGTGAATCTGATAGATATAATATAGTTTCTTTAGAAATATAGTGTGTGTGTGTGTGTGTGTGAGAGAGAGAGAGAGAGAGAGAGAGAGAGAGAGAGAGAGAGAGAGAGAGAGAGAGAGAGAGAGAGAGAGAGAAGAGAATGCCACTGTGCATGCAGAGGTCTGAGGACAGCTTGTCAAGTCTATTCTTTCTTTCCACTTTTATGTGAGTTTCAGAGATCACTGGGCAGGCCCCTTTACCATCTGAATCATTTCCATGACTCTAAAATAGTTCCTTATTTCTTTTTCCTCATAAGTAGTGAAATTCAGTTGTCTTACAATGTTTAACATGAATATTCTTTTCTGCACATTTACATTGGGTCATTTGTCCTTTTCTTATTGATTTCTATTATTTTTTTCACTTATGGACACTAATCTATAAGATGCATGTGCTATAAATGTCTTCTTTCAGTTATGGGTTTTGTTTTATTTGTCTCATCTTATTTGTGATACTGCTTTTTTAATTTTTTTTCAAGTTTGCTGTCAGAACTCAGGATCTTGCACATGTTGACCTATGACCCCAGTCCTTACACAGGACTGTCTTATATCTGGCAGCAACAACTGCTGCTCCTCAAGCTCTAGTTTTCTGAGTGCTTTTAAAAATCATGAGTGGATGTTGAATATTAACAGATTTTGCCACATGTGTTAAGATTCATGTATGTTTTTCTCCTTTGGGATGTTGAGATGGTAGATGACTTTATAAATTTTTAGGCCTGCATTTTGAAATTCCCTTAGGGTCTGAAAGCTCATTAATTGTGAGACTTTTTAAATATCCCTTTAATTTCTATGAGGTTTTGATGTACAAATATGTTCCTTCTGAGATGTCTTTGTTGTTTCTTATTCCTCTTGAGCCCTTGGTTATTACTTCACATTTTAAAACTGAAGCAAGAAAAATAACCAACTTTGGGAGCTCTGTGAACATATGAAAGCGTTACTGAGGGTAAGACTTATCTTAGGCCACTGGGATAGGATAGCAAGCTGGTTTTGTGTGTTAATCTTTTTCTGAGAACTTCATACGTGAGAACTGCATCCACATTACTCTTCCCTACTCCATCTGCTCTAGTGCCTCCCTGGGTCCCTCTCAAATTCACAGCATCACCTGTGTGTGTGTGTGTGTGTGTGTGTGTAACCCACCGAGTCCATCCGTTTAGTATTGTTTGTATGGACATGTCCAGATCTGACCTCTCGGGATTGAACAGCCTAAGTGTGAGATGGTTCCTAAAGGAAATGGAACCCCCCGCCATCTCTCACCAACTGGCCACCTGTAGCTTTTCATCTAGGGGCAGGATCTTGTGGAATCCCTCCTGTCCATGTTGGCAAGTCAGCTGGTGTTGTCATTATGCTGCCGTGTCCAGGTGATCAAAGTGTGGAGAGTTCGTGGATGCAGTTTCCCTGTCATGTATGCCTAGGGTTTTGGACTTTGTTGGTTTGTTTATGGAGAGTTTGTCTGTCCAAGACTTTGTCATCTCTTTAAATAACTTTTGTTTGTTTGTTTTTTCCTGTTTCCCTAGGCAGGAAGCAGAAGCAGCTGGTCTCCACTAGCTTTCAAATAACCCCCTGGCTTCCGTCCTCACACCTTGTACCTGTTTCCAGGCCTCAGTGAAGTTCTGTTAGGAAGATGGCATCTCTCCTCCCACACTGGCTACAGCTTCCTCCTCACTTACCACTACCTCAACTGTTCTGGTTCATAACCCTGATGGGATACGAAGTCCATTGATGACCCTCTCCACTGCCTGGGACACTGAGCCTTATGCCATCTCAATTCCTTTACTGCAGTCCTTGGAAAAAGAGGCATGTCTGATACGAAATCTATTTCTCTTCTCTAAGTCTGTAGTTCTGGAAGTTTCCCTGTCTTCTGGGAAGAACCAGGTCCTCCTTGCCCTGGGTCCCTCCTGTACTGTGTTTTCCATCTACCCCCAACCTCCCATTGTGGGGTGTGCTTGACTTACCTTCTAGAACCTCAGTAGATGGGGGTCTGGACCTCTGTGGATGTTGGAACTGACTCGGTCTATTCTGGGAGAAGTTTCTCTGGGCTTCCTAGCCTTTAAAAATTACTATTCCTTCCAGGGTGTGCCACAGGCAGGGAGATTCCAGGACTCACTACCCAACAGCCTGCACCCCCTTATTAGGCTCTGGAATGTTACAGGATGATCCAGCAACCTCATAAAGAAACAAACATTAATTGAGTCCAGTGGCTGGTCTGGAGTGAGAGGCTGACCCCTGGGGGGAGAAAACAATAAGCAGCCTCCGCCCAGTGACCCTCAGCCCAGCCCTCTGCCTCGTACTTGCCTGGCCATGGTGCCAGTGATTCCTGGGTTTTATTAGTCAGCACTGTTCCTTGGGAGAGCTCTATTTCAGGGGCTGTGCAGCCAATGTGCCTTTAGTGAACACTACAAATGCTCTTCACGGTGATCTCAGTTGTCCCTTACAACCCCCCAGGGGGTAGGCAATAGTAGCAGCCCTCTTTATGGCTGCTAAGAACCTGAGGTCCAGAGTGGAAGAGGAAGTTCCTTTGGTGACAGGAGAGCTGTCACGGGATCACAAGTCTCCCAACTACCAAGTGCCCACGCCTGTTTATCCTGGCATGGGCCAGACCAGCTGTTACAAGGGCCTGTCAATCAAGGGAACACTCATGCTCATGGTCAGCCATACTGATCTAGAGGCTCTAGTCCTTCAAACTTGAAAGGAACTCTCTGGAAACTGAACATTGTGGGGGGGGGGTGGCGTGGAGGAGGAGGCTTGACTTGATAAGAAAGAAGAGGAAATCAGATTATAAAAAGAAAAAGGGATGGGGAGAAAGGAAGGAAGAAGGGATGGAGAGAAAGGAAGGAAGAAGGGATGGAGAGAAAGGAAGGAAGAAGGGAGGGAGAGAAAGGAAGGCTCCTAAGGGTGGACCATTGCTACCAGCAGCTACAGGCTGCCTGCTCCCTGCCCAGCAGGAGCCAAGGGCCACAGCTTCCCAGGGTGTTCCGAGTCAAAGATGGTAAGGCAAAGACAAGTGTCCATTCGCACAGAAGCTCTGCTAGGTATGGAGTAGTCCCCGTCACTGCTTACCAGGATAGCAAACTTGTGTCAGCTCTACTCCCTCCCTCCACCCTAGAAACAGGGCCAAAAAAAGTGACAGAGAGAGAATAGGCATAGGGAAGGTCTTCCAAGCAAGCCTTCCCTGTGTCCCTCCTACGTCCAGATACTCCCACCTCCAAAGCTCCCTCCCTCCCTCTTCCACAGAGATACCTGGCTGAAGCTGCCAGGCCCCTGGAAGATGAGAAATCCAGCCCGCACTAATTTACTTTTAATAGCATGAAAAGAGAAAAGAAAAATGCCACTATCTGTTTTTGGTCCCCTTTAAGCTCAGTTTAGACTCATCCTCAGCTCGGGTCTTTTTAGTTGATTTGTAAGTCAGGAGTAGAGGAGATAGCATCAATGAAATTCACCCATCTGCCCTGCTTTGAAAAGGTATTCTCTGCTAAAATGTTGACTTGCAGCCTACCAAAGGAATGTAGGACAAACACAGGCTACCCCAAGATGAGCCTCAGGGAACCTATTGGATCTCTTAGACCACTGAGCACCCTGGCCCTCCCTTGAACATCCCTTTCTGTGATCTAGCTAAAGTCACCGAGCACTGTGGGGCTATTAATATTCCCAGCAATGACAGAGGTGTTGAGACTGTAGTTTAATTGACAGCTCTGCGTGGAGAAATGTCTTTCTTAATTGAGCCCTGATGCTTGATTGCTCCTTGAAGGGTAGTAAGCCTCTCAGTACCGGAAGCAATCAAGCGGCTCTTGGCTCGCTCTTAAAAACAAGTAACCAAACCAAAGACAAAACCAAAATAGGCCTTCATGTCGAGTGAGGGAATGCCTCCTTCTGTATCTTCCACTCATTCCAAGGACTTCTGCATGGAAATCTAACAAAGCCTTAATCCAGTCCAGTGTGATCATTCCCACAGGGAGAGTTTGCTGTTCTCTAGACATGGAAGGCAGATTAAAAGCCTCAGGTATGCCCCCTTCCTCACCCAGGCCATTGGCTATGTTCTCTCAAACAGCAAAGGAGACTCCAGAGAAGTCATTAGATCAAGGATTCAGTGGAAGGTCCCTGGGTTATCTAAAGAACCCCCTGTGACCTCAGGATCTCCTCTGGGAAAACCAAGAGGCAAAAGATGAAGGATGGTGCTATTGACTTTGAACATGGTGGGAGAAGCTGGGATTCAAGGAGTGTGGTAGTCTGGCCTGGAAAAGCATGGAGCAGATTCTTCCCAGCCTCCAGTGGAACACAGCTATCCCAGCACCTTCCTCTTAGCCCAGCGAGACTTGTCCCAGGCTTGTGGTAACTCATGAAAGAGACATTGAGAAAGGACTGTCTCATTCTCCTGTTTGATATGTGGCATCCAGTCTGTGTTACTGTGGCTCTCCATGGGTCAGTTTTCTTAATGGGAGTTCCTCAAGCAAAGCTACACATGCCTAGCTTTTCTCTCATGGGGCTGCGTGGGGCTTAACAAAC